CTTAGTGGTGGTACCGTTGAAGCCCTAAAGGTCATAGCCCACATACGGAGTCAGGTGGCTCTCATCAAGCTGGAGGGTCGTGAACAGATGGGAGTACATTATGTCCACTGAACTCCCTTGGTCGACTAGGATTTGGCGTACGTCGAAGTTCGCCATCTGAGCTGTGATCAGGAGGGGAATGCTGGAGTTAGGTGCACCCCTGGGAAGCTCCTCGAGGTAAAAGGTAATCGGGTTCAATTGACCTTTGAACTTATCGAGGGTAGCGTTCATCTTCGAGCTCTTGTCGATGAGTTCCTTGAACTTCCTCTTAACTGACCCGACCGATAGCTTGCTGCCCCCCGTTGGATATGACCAGGGTGGCGGGGAAATCCTCCCACGGGCTGTGGGCGGATAATGGTCTGGCGGGCTCGCTGAAAAGGAGGAAATCCTCCGGTCGGGAGACACATAGGGCGACCTGTAGCCCCGCTTTGTCAGAGGGAGGTGACATTTCCTCGACCTTCTTGGCCTCGGGGGTCTCAAGTCGGGAAACCTCACCTCTCCAGGTGTACTGGTGCCCTTCTTTTATTAAGATTTCGATTGCATCCTTGAGGTGGATGCAATCCTCTGTGACGTATCCATGACTCCGGTAAAACTGACAATATTTGGATTTGTCCACGTTGGGCTTCCGGGGCGTCGACTTCGAGAAACAGACACCGCCCCTTTGGAATTCTGGATTGATACATTTGGACAGGATGCCCTCATATGGTGCTATGAGCAGCGTGTACTAAGTGAACCGGCCCGCTGGTCCCCTCTGCTCGCGGGGTCGGTCTTCCCGTCTTCTTTCCCTGCCTCGACGCGGAGGAGCAGCCTCCTCATGCCTGGTGCTCCTGAAGCCTTCATGGTTCCGCGTGTCGCAGGTACTGTTGGCAGCCTCTATCTCCTCATACTTGATGTATGATTGGGCTTTGTGGAGAAGGGTGTTCAAGGTGCAGGGACGTTCGTACCCGATGGCCTTGGCGAAGTCGGAGTGAGGTCGTATGCCTTTCTAAATCAGGAATTTCTTCATATCATCCGTGGTGGACACCTGGACGACTTCTCGGTTGAACCTCTCTATGTAATCTCGGAGAGGTTCGTTCTTCCCTCGGACGATGGCTTCCAGGGTTGCCTCTGTCTTCGGATGGCGCGGGGAAGCTGTGAAGTGTATGGAGAACTGCCTCTTCAGTTCACCCTAGGAGGTGATGGATTCGGGTGTGAGGCGTTTATACCACATCATGGCACCCTTCCTCAGGGTAGTGGGGAAAAGTCTGCACTTGATGGCTCCCCGCATGTTCCGATAATCGGGCATCACGTTGATGCTTTCTATATGGTCGTCCGGGTCGATGGTGCCATTGTATGTTGCCAAGGACGAGGGTTTCTCCATCCCGACGGGTAGTGGGGCCTCCCCGATAGCCCTACATATTAGTGAGTGTTTGACGTCTTTGTCACTCGTGACGGGCGACAGTGAGGGGGAGATTGATCCCTAGTTGTTTATGTTCTGTCGGGGAAGACTCTTCAGTCGGGCTCTTGGCTTGGAAGCACCTCCCTCGACTTTGCTCTTTTTTTGAGCTGGGGAGAGTCGTTCCTTCCGGGGAGGTGACCGGTCCCGCTTCTGGAAAGCCAATGGACGTGGTCTCTCCAAACAAGGACGATGTCCCGTCGATCGGGGAGAAGGGCTTCTAGAATCGCCAACGTGTTGTGTCCTCCGTCGGGGAGGAGAGAGGCTGTTGGAAACTGGGCGACAATGTCTCTACGGGGGAGAGCTTGATGGTCGTTCTCTCTCGAACATCCTTATTCACTCGTTCTGTTGGATGATCATCAGGTTGGTCTGGTTGATCGCCGCAAACAAAACCACCATAGTGTGGTCAGCGTCTGCTGGCACCAGGATGGGTTGGTAGACAGTCGGGCTGTCAAGGCGCTGGGCAGCGTTGAAGGCCGCGTCCTCCAAGGAGGGAGAGGCGGTGCACCCGTCCTTGTAGTCGCCTTCGTTGTTGCGGACGATCATGTTGGGTTCGTGGCCGTCCCCGTTGGTAAAGGGGACAGAGGCGGTGTTCGGAGCATTGTCGTCGCGTGGGATGGCCATCATCGGAATGGAAGTCGAAAGTTGCTTTGGTTCTTGAGCTTCTATGCTTGGATATGAGAAAGAACATGGAAGCAAAGGGTTCCCATAGACGGCACCACTGATCTCACTTGATCAGAAAGAAATCAATAGTCTGCCACGCGTTGTGAGCTGCTGTCTTAACCGGTGTCGTAGAGGAGGAGGGGGTGTACCGACAAGGTACTCCGATGCTTAAGTGAGTAACAGAGTTAGAGAGATAGCAAGTACAGAGAAAAGTTGTAGTGAATAAGATACCCGACCCTCTAGTGAAAGAGGGTACTTATAATGTGCCCCCAGTGCAGGGCCAACAGTTACATTGCATTGGGCCGGATTGCCAAGCCCAACACAAGTAACTGTCAGGACTTACATGGCGTAAGGAAGACCAGCATGTGGTCTTCGTCCTAGATCAACTGCCCCGTGATCTTCGGAAGGTGGACTGACCAACTCTTTCGAAAGTGGATAGTTGCCTGATGGTGTGTCCCCGCGTGCGGGACACGTGGAGAACATGGGGGAAGTGTGTGACCTTCCCCGTCACGAGAGTCCTCTGCCTGACTAATGTAACTTGTTGAGGCTCGTGCCCGCAGAGGGGAATTTGGACCTTGTTGGACCTCATCAGTATAGTGTTGAGTTGGACTTGCCCGGCTGAGGGGCAGGTCTCGGCCCAATCCAAAACACTTTTTATTTACAATTAATTCCTATCGTTTTTAAAAAAAGAATTGTTTGTATTTATCAAAAGAAAATTGTAGTAAATTATTATAATATAAATATACTGAATATAGTTGTAAAAGTTTTAAAATATTTAAAAGTTAATATAAAATAAATTAAAATTAATTTGCTTAAGAACTCACTCCACGGGACAAGACCAACATTAATATAAGTCGAGAATTAGTCATGCATTCCAAAGCTAAAATAATATATATATATTTTAAAATAACTATATTTTTCAAAAGAAATTTCAAAATAACTATATTTTAAAAAAAATATATCAAAGTAATCATATTTAAAAAAAAAGAAAGAGGAGTAGTCAAATGGTTTGGCACATGCATTCTTTTTTTTCCATAATGGCGCATGCTTATAGTGAAAGACAAAAACGTATATCAAGTTACCGTAAGAATAACCTAAAATACCTATATTCACGAAAGTTTCCTATAGATAAAAGTCTATTTTTGTAACATAAAGTGCCATACGTATAAGTATTTCACACTATTCCCACAATTAATTGTCTTTTACGCTTTTGTCTGTCATATATGACACGTGTGTGGAAAAAAAAATGTATGCACTAAACCATTTGACTACTCTTCATGCATATACCAAACCATTTGACTACTCCTTTTGTTTTCTTTTTTAATATGATTATTTTAGTATATTTTTTAAAAATATAGTTATTTTGGAAATTCTTTATCATCAAGTGGATATTATTTGTACTTTTTCAATTCCAAATCATGGCAATAATCAGATTTGGTTCATCACATCACAAAGAGAACTCATAGGCTATTTTAGATGAGAATTAGTCATCTGCAGCGGCATCCAATTCAGAAATTCATCTCCATTGCATTCAATTCTGATGCCACGATCATGAGGTAAAACATTCGGCATACTCTCCATGTTCCAACTGTTATTTCAAAGTATTTCAACTTCGTCACTGACTATATAGCATTCACTAGCTCAGACACACAGTATAATACATCTCAAGATTTGTTCTTTATCTTTTTTTATAGCACATTTTTTAAGTACACCTAGGCTATTCAAAGAGCTTTTTCTAAAAGAGAAATGAAATTATTTCGACGAGGTCCACTTTAATTCTTGATCAATGTTTCAGTGATATGGGTTTAAATAATTTGGGCTCATGTCAGCCCAAGCTAATCTGTGAGCCGCAAAAAGAATTTGAAGTTTCGCAATCCACCTCGTATACATTCAAATATATCAATAAAAAAAATCCTTCCAATAATTTAGAAGTATATTGTAACAAAAATATATTATTGAAATAATTGCTCTGATAAACACCCCGTGTTTTAAGGGGGTTAATTGAGAAACATTCCTGCATCATTTAGATTCCAACATTCTTCCAATAGTTAAGTTTAGACACTGCAACTTTAGGGACCAAAAAAGAGAGCTGGAAGAATGAGTGCAGCATCAAACTAAGTTTCAAATAAATAATCTCGTAAGAATGTTCAATGAATGAATACAAATTGAATCTTTTCAAGAAAAAACTGCCTGCTAAATAAAAATACATTACTCAGCCAGTGCAAACTAGGAATGTAGCATCAGTTATCAACTATAATCAGCATTTTGTTAACATAAGATATCTTTGAAAATGATCATAGTTTCAAACCATATTATGCATAGTTGAAGTGGTAATACCATGTCATGAACCAGCTCCTTCCAAAAGCTTAAGCTGTGCTGAAGGCATATGAATGATTTTATATCTAACACACCACAAAAGGGAGCAAATACTTTCACATTTAGTATATTAGATGAGATAATCTAACTCTGCCTATGTTGCACTACAAAACTGGTCGCAAGCCTAGAAAAAGAAGAGGGATGTGCTAGACAATCAATAACAGATGTAACACTTTATTGAATCTCCGTGCTACAAATCAACCAACATGAAATTGAAAAGTCTCAAGTGTCGCAAATTTTAACATTACACAACCAGCTAAGTTTGTCTTTCTGCACTCTCTAGCAAGTAAATAGTCATACTTAACATAACCCTGAAATCTGCAACTCTTCTTGTAGATGGTTCTATAATCAACACCAGTCCATAATTCACTTAAGCAAAACCAATATCTTCCTAAACTATATTGATTCACACTAACCCTTTAAGTATTATGGAATGTACAGCAAACACGTTTCTAAATTAATGACTCCGCTCTAACAACTGGATGGATCAGTTTATCATTTTCCCATGTATCTCCCGGATCAAAAACTTAGAATTATCAACAATGACTTTACTTTTATAAACTATATCCCGGCATAATTCATGTCTAGGGGCTGGTGCTAGTGATCTTAATTGAAAAAGGGGATCTGTTATAATACCACTACTATACAACTCTCTTGCTGGCTGGACATGCTTCAACCAGAAATCAGAAAGTGCTATTTTCATTATATCCCAATACTCTGGATCACGATGTATCCTGAATAGACTACTACCATTAATCGTCCAAACATAAAAATCCATCCAATCCCTTCCTAGAATCTCCATTAAACCCTGAGCTTGAGGAATATAGTGAACAGGAATTCGAGACCAAGGGAAAGCTTTACTCATGTCTCCACCGAAATATGGGCACTTTACCTCCAGCACACCGTGAGAAGGCAATTCATATACTAGCCTGTCAACTATACCATCCGGTGAAGCAGCTAGCCAACTGTCTTCTGGTTTTGCATTGTAGACCTGAAATTCAGGAAACAACACATTATTTCCCGTTATCAATTTATATCTTTCAAGTGCATCTTCCTCTTTGATATTGCTCCAACATGTGGCAAGGTTTCCAGAAAATGGTTCTATAGCACCTATCTTCTCCAACCACAGCTGAGACCTTCGACGACGCCAAAATCCAATGGCAGCAGCAAAAGTACTAGCTGTCAGCTTTTGTTTCCTAAGGTTCTGCCAATTTTTAAACCAGTGCTGGAGGCTGGGTGCTTGAAGAACCAAGTGTTTTTCCTCAGATGTGAATTTCAACATACCACCACCATTACCAAATCTTTTTAAAGGGTTATCAGGTACATGGCTCCTGGCATTGCTACTAAAAATCCTCTTATTACTCAAACATGCAACAAGTGCACCCTTGTAACAGCTATTTTTGTGCTTGAAATGTTGCACACGGGCAACAGAAAATGAAAAATCAATTTTGCCACTGTTAAAGAAGAGAAAGTATCACTTGATATGTACTTATAAACTAAGCAGCAACTAAAACTTAGCAGAATACATAAATAGCATTTAAAAAAACAATACTCAAGATAATCATGGTGATCTTTCTATGATCGTTGACCAAGTATATACAATTTTTAGTTTCATATTAAATTTGTATATACAGAACCAGTTCTTGACCATTCAATCTTCTAGACTCTCAAAATTACACTAAATTGTAAAAAATAGGTAAAGTGGCAGTACAGAGGCATTTCTAGAGTTGCAGACAATTAGATAACGTATTTAAGAGCCTATTTGGGTTTACTTATTCTTGTTTATCTACTAATTTACTAACATAACCGCTTGTGAAACTGTTCAGGCAAACTTACAAAAACAACTTATAACATATCTACAATCTACAATCTGTTTTCAGCTTATTTCCAGAAAATTTCCAATATAGCTTATGAAAACTGCAAATATAGCTTATATGTAAACAATCTTATTTTATCTTTTTGTTATATAAAAGTAGCATTTACACACGAATTCATATGACAAGTGCTAATGCTATAACCTATTGTTTAAGTTGTTTATCAAAACATAACGTAAATTAATAAAACTCCAATTTTTGGATAAAAATCGTGGTACTTGTTTATTTATGACATTGTTCCCATTTTTAAAGAAAAATATTGAATTTGAATAAAAATAAAAGTTTTTCATCATTGAAGCATTTCATCAAACAGAATATAAGCAAAACCCAACATGAATATAACAATTGAAAGAGATGCAAGATGGGGTATGTTACCAATGGTGGTGAAATTGAAAACGATGAAAATAGAGTGCTGAGCTGCGGACATTAGGTGAGATGAAGCTTTTTTGAAATCCAATCATAGTGGCCATGGACCCATTGATTCACCTAGTTTCTTCTTACGTCAACCTCTTTACAGTTTTCCCCCTCGGCAAATTCACGATTCTGTAATGCATTTGTTTACTTGTTAGGTTTCACCTGTATCGTGATTTTCTTTTCCTTCCACCTAGAAGCCAGAGTAATTTTTGTTTTTCCCGGTTTTTGCAAATTAGGAGTCGAGTAAATTAACACTACAATTTTAGTTTAAAATTATTAAGGACTCGAATGAAGGGATGTGTGAGTATCGCTACTCCCTTTTATATGACAAAACCAATTATTTTATTTCTTTTATTTGAATCTTATAAACAAAATTATAGGATACAAAATTTATTCTATAATTTTATATTTGTTTAATTTATTTGAATGATTCAAACCAATTTTTGTATAAAATCTTGAAAGATGATTGGTAATTAAACTTTGAATTTTTTAAATTACTTGCATTATTAAGATACATCTTAATCAATCAAAAGTGATGGCTTTTTTGAAAAAGAATTTTATATATTCGATCGATATTGGACAAAAATTTTCAAGTTTCATATTGGTTAGAGATTGAGGCTTTAAAAAGTTTATTTAAAATAACAATTTTCATCTTATAAGTCGGTTTTGTAATAATGAATTGTATCAAACTTTAAGAGATGATAACATTTAGACATTAAATTACATATTATGTAATTTGATCTCCATATGCTACTATTTTGGAGTGAGCAAAGGATGAGACGGAATGGGTTATGACTAACCTTAACTCTGTCTTAAATTTTGATCGGGTTATTTTAATGACTCTAACCCGTAATATATAAGTTATTAGACCGGGTTAATATAAGACGATATTGGATTGACCTAAAATATATGGAGAAAAAAATTCAGTGCCTTAAAAAATTTATTATAGTATTTTTAAAAATTCATTTAAATAAGAAATATGAATAAAAAACAATGAATACATCTAAAGGTAATTTTTTAAAATAAAAAACATGATGTGATTCTATATATGTCATCACCTTTTTACTTTCACTAAAACATAGTAAGAAGATGTAAAATAAAAAACATGATGTAAGAGAACTAGAAAAGTGTGAAAGTTGGAAAGTGTGAAGATATGTACTTAGTACTTACTTAGTGCATATATTAAATTATGAGGTGGGAAGTGGAAAAGCCTATTGAAAATTTGGAATAATATAAATATACTAATAAATTAAATAAATAAATAGTATCACATGTGCATTCATAATATTAGGACAGATTGGGTAACCCGAGGGTCAACCCGAACCCGTACCACCTGATACCGGGTTCATTTTTGGACAGTCCTTTTTTTCTATTTTTTTGCATGAGACATGAAAAAGACTAACCCTAAACTATTGGGTTGGGACGGATCTTCGGGTTGAGTTGAATTTTGGACACCCCTACTACTATTTGGAGCATCATGTTTATTGCATAAACACTTTTATAAATCCTCTCACTCAAGACTCTTTAACGCATTTCCTTAAACTCTCTAAAAAAAATATTTTTCTTCTCATTCAATATTTGTGTTAAGTAACACCATTCAAGTGTATTTCGACATGATAAATGTCACGTTCGTCCTAAAATATTGGTTTTTTATTCATTGTGCAAGTTGTCTAGATAGTATTATCTGAAACCTTATAAAATGCTGTCAGCTTGTAACTTTCGGACGTTTAGAATGACTACTGGAATTCTCTTCATTTTTAATGTTGTAGGTATGATGCACTCTGATGTTGTCAACCTAGCTAATGCATCCAAATATGGTGTGCTGAAGATCTTTAACTCGATGTTGTACACGTTAATGTTGGAAAAGAATTTACCATTGAACACAAGTTTACGCGAACACAAGTTTACGCTACGTGATCATATACTTAACTGAGTTCGTGTGAAAACAGTCAAATTAGACTTTGGGATAGTAATTGGGAGGTATGATTCTGGTTCTGATAGAAGACAAACATTTTGATACAATGAGAAGTGAAAGAAGTGGTATCTATAAAGAATTTATTTGAAAGTTGAAATGTGACTAGAACACAAAAATTTGAATGTCCTTTTAAATTGTGTGGTACCACACAACAAAAAATATTTAGAGATTGATTGTAATTTGCAGCATGCATAACCATGAAGTGGATCGCTAGTTTGATGGTCATTTGATTGTTGGCTGAAAATTAGCCAACTAGCCTCGACAAGAGTTAGGAGAAGGAAGAATGAAGCTCGACCAGCCCCTTGCATAAAGGGCAAAGGTCAACAGCAATAAACCTTGGCAAGCATCACACCTTGACTCAACAACATGAGTTGAATAGGTCGACAGGACCTGCGTCGATCGACACAAAGAAGAAAGCCAGCCAGGGCATTCTCGACGAGAGAGGCTAGAGGATTGGCGGGAAGTCAATTTGAAATGAGAAACGTGGAGGCAGTTTTCCAAAGACGTGGGATGACACGTGGCGCATCCTGAAGCCCTTTGGCAGTTACTTCGTATGCCTATATAAAGCAAGATTTTCTAGGAAATAAGGGCGTATTTTGTCAGAATTGGAAGAAAAACACTCTGAGTACCACACTGTAGAGAAAAGAGTTTACTTTGTCATTCTAAAATGTACGAATACGTCCAATTGTCTTCTTCCTTGTATTTTTATATTGCACTTTAAGTTTTACTTTAAGTTTTGCCAAGTATTTAAGATATTCAAAGCATTATTGTCAGAATATCTATAAAGTCTCTGTTTTAGCCATTTCTTTATCTTTGTCAACTTTAGTTATGTAGAGTGTAAACCACAAAATATATAACCATCAAAGTGCACCATAACCCAAGTAAACAATTCACCTCAAACCAAATCGTCCTGGGACTAGTTTGGCCAGTCCCGCAAGAAAATCCGCATAGGAAGGCTAGAGGTTATCCGTGCGGAAATCACGTGCGAACAAATAAGCACACCTAGTGGGACTTTGGTTTAGGTATATGCAGTTACATAGCGGAAAGATGGTGACACCGCGACCAAACAAAGAAACGTCTTCACAAGGAAACACGTTTTCCTCGCCAGGAGCGGTTCTGGACACTAGACCCATGCCAACTGTCACTTCGACCGTTGGCACCGCACCATTCACGACTCCAAGTCGACCGGAAGTGCGGCTCGCTACGACTGGAATCGACTGTCAACGTTTACCTAGTTTCAACACTTCGGCACCCCAACACTTGGAATAGGCATTGGAGAGAATTCGACCTTCGCTTTTTCGCCGTATCGAAGCATGGGCCCCGTGACCCAACAAGGAGGAGGGCCGCCATGTTTTGGGTCACTCCCCACAGCGGTATCAACTTTTACCACTAGCTCTGTCGCGGCCATGCGCCAGCATATGGACGAAAGCAATCACTACATAGTGCACATGTTAACCCAACAAATGGGCACCATTCTGCGGCCTTTAATACAAGATTCGACACAAAGTTACCAATAATTGGCAACTCAGATGACCCGAATAAGAGAATTTTTAGGGGCACCTAGGAACGTAGGAGGACCAACTCCTCCAAATCGTCCCGAGACGCCGGTTCGACAAAACAAGCCTGTCGAGGAAAGAGGCGAGCCACAAGCGCCTGAGCATGAACGTATCCCTAGGGTAGCCCAGAGGCCCCCCATAGTAATGGCCTACAGGGACCAAGACCCCGACCACATAGTCTGACAAGTTAGAAATGAGAACCTCGGAGGCGAAGCTAATTTGGAAGCTATGGTCGAACGCATCATGGTTCAAAATGGTGCGAACCCTAGCCTCCGACGGCCCGCCTACACGTCTTTGTTGCCAAATTTTGTGTTATAAATGGAACTGCCAAGGGGCTGGAAAGTCCCAAAATTCACTAAGTTTGCGGGCGAAACAGAGGAATCCATTGTCGAACATGTGGCCCGATATCAGACCGAGGCTGGGGACATAACAAATAACGAGGACTTGAAAATGAAATATTTCCCGGGTTCCCTCACAAAAAATGCGTTCACATGGTTCACTTCACTGTCCCCTCAGTCGGCCCACACATGGACGCAGCTGGAAAGATTGTTCCACGAACAATTTTACATGGGGCAATCAAAGATCAGTTTGAAAGAATTAGCTAGCATAAAACAGAAAACCGCGGAGTTTGTAGACCAGTATTTGAACAGGTTCAGACTGTTGAAAGCGCGATGCTTTATGCAAGTCCCCGAACACGAATTGGTTGAAATGGCAGCGGGAGGACTAGATTACTCCATTCGGAAAAAACTAGATACACAATACTTAAGAGATATGACGCAACAGGTCGATCGCGTCCGACAGGCCGAACGTTTGAGAAGTGAGAAATCACATACTAGTCGATACCGTAAGAAAGAAAAGGTGGCTTTGTAACTACCGACAAATATTCATAGGACGAAGAGGAATTCGTTAAAGAGAACACCGTCAATGTAGCCGAACTAACAGCTGGACCTCCATATACGTGTAGGGTCCTGAAGCCGTCAAACGGAAAAAATCCGGTCGAGACGGAGAAGACGGACAAATATGTTGCGAAAACATACTCTTTCAATGTATCCAAGTGTGATGAGATATTTGACGTATTAGTAAAAGATGGTCAAATTATCATCCCGGTTGGGACAAAAGATCCCCCCCTTCTAGATTTCCGTCATCGTCTAACATGAAGTGTTGGGAGAAGATAATACATCAGAGGATTCTGCTGATAAAGGGGGGTCATGGCTTTTAATGTTGATGTGACTATCTATAGGGGAAGTACCTAGAGGAGACACAGAAGTAAAATGATTGGATTTCTGTCTAGAGTTATCATACTCCCTTTGTGTACTTAAAAAGTCATTATCAGAACTATCAGACATGTGATGGTCAGGTTGCTGTTTTAAGTTAGGAGAAGAAGTAGTATTATCAAGAAAGAGTGATATATCAGTAGAGTTAAGAGACTGATGTGACATGTCATGATCATCATATGGAAATAAAGGACTTTGGTTAGGTTTGAATGAGATATAATTAAAGGGGGATACAGTTTCATAAAAAGTCA